TTTTTTTTCGTACCGGAAATTGAACTCGGGACCTCGTGCTTGTGAGGCAGGCCTGGAGCCACTGAGCTAAATCTCTGGAACACATGTACTTTAGTGGAAGCATTGGAAATGCAGCTCCAGATCTTTAGAATCCTCACTGAGGGAGGTTGTTAAAGTCCATGTCCCTGGGCTAGTGGTGAAACTCAGCGGTAGAGCACGTACTTAGCATGCAGGAGGTGTGGATTTGATCCTTGGCAAAAAGAAAAAGAAAAAAAGCCCCTTGCATTCCTGGATGGTATCTTGGTCCTGCCTGCCCCCACCCTTAGAATTATTTTCAGGGAATTGAAGGTGGTCTTGAAGCCATCAGCTGAGGATGTGTGTACAGATGGATCGTAGGATCCAGCATGTTTTCATGTGTGTAGTCTCTGCCTTGGCTTTTGAGCAGACCAACACACGTACATTTCCCTATGGTGATGTATGTGGTATTTTAGATAGGTTGTGTGTGTGTGTGTGTGTGTGTGTGTGTGTGTCTAGGTGAGGTGCCCTCTTGCTTGTTTGTTTTTTTGTTTGAGACAAGCTCTTGCTCTGTAGTTCAGGCTGCACTTGAACTCATTATATAGCCCAGGCTACCCTTGAACTCATAGAAATCCTCCTGCCTCAGCCTCCCAAGTGCTGGGATTAAGGGCATGTACCACCATCAGGCAGAGAGACCCTCTTTTAAGGCAGACCCAACCACCCAGCTCAGAACCTCAGAATCTAGCCTGCCAGAGTTCTCACACCCCACTATATACAGGAAACAAGCCTATTTGCAAAGTCAAACCACAAGCGTGAGGGAATGGACAGTTCACAGTTCACTCCCTTGCTGAGGCCAAGGTGCTGAGGAGGTGTAACGGCATGGACAGCCCTCCTTTCTGTGCAGAGGGAGGAAGTGTCGAGCTTCCCTTAAGGGTTTACTACGTGTGGGGTATTATCCAGGGCATATCACAGATTCCCCAAAAAGTGCTCTGTAAGACAGAGATTAATTGGTGCCTCTTTAGAGATAAATAAATTAAAGTTTAGAACTGTGAAGCCACCCAAAGAAATGGCTGTGCTGGGCATGATGTCACACACCTGCAATACCAGCACCCCAGGCGTTTGAGGTAGGAGGGTTATAAATTCAAGCCCAACCTGAGCAACTTCGCCACTTTGCAAGACCCTATCTCAAAATAACAAGTAAAAAGAGTTGGGGATGTAGCTCAGTTTAAAGGCCTTGGGTTCAATCCTTAGTGCTAAAAAAGAGAAAGGTAGAGGAGAGAAAAGGAGGGGAGTGGAAAGCAGAGAAAAGGAGAGGAGAAACAGCAGTGCCAGAATTATGCCTGGGTCTTCACACTGCGTCACACGTCTGGGCTCTCTTGCTTTTGGCCTTACTCTGAGGTCTCTGCCCTTATGGTTCCAAAGAACAGAACCCGGGGACGGTGGCCTTCGGCTTCACATCGTAGGCACTCTGGAAAATGGACCTCTGTCCTCCGAACTGCCTGACTCTTCAGGAAGCTTGCAGATTCCCTCCAGGGATGCCTTTTCTCTCCTCTGAACCATCAGCCAATTATCTGCCCCTGTCCACTTGAGTCTTTCTTCCTTTGAGAAGACCTCAAGGCAAGGAGCCCTGGCTGCCTCATTCACCAGCGCAGGCTGGGCAAAGAAGGCTTCGTGTGTCCATCCAGGGGAGGAGAAGCCCTCCAGAAGCACAGGGAGAGGCAGGGTGTTTCCCAACCCAAGTAAGAGGTGATAGGCTTTAGGGCCGGAGATAAGAGAGGCTGGGACATGCTGACTAGGTGGAAAGTATGTGACACAGAAAAACTCCAGCAAGGCAAGGGAAACCTGGAAAGTCTGGCTGAGTTGGGGACTGCCCCCCAAAGCTGAAGGCTCAGCGTTAGTATATGAGGAGGTGGAAGGTAGCTGATGAGGCCTTCCAGGAGCTCTACCCCTTGGGGTCTAAAGCAGGAAGCAGCAATACCGACTGACCCTTCACTTGTAGTGGGAGAGGAGATGAGGTGGGAGGGACAAGGACAGAGGGAAGACATCCTGCTGTGACCCTTGGCAGGGAGGGGATGGCAGCTTTCCAGGTGGAAGTTCAGAAGTTCCTTGCTCAGGACCAGCTGCACCCCTGCCCGGGATAAAATTAGTCCTTCCTCTTCCTTTTCCCTCACCTCAGACTTCCCAGAATCAGATCACATTTGTAAGCCCTAGGGTCTCCATCCCAGTGAGAAATAACCCCTCCTTTCCTGCGGCCATCCGCCCACCTTGGCAGACTCTGTCTCTCAAGTGATGCTGGTCACTGAGGCTGAAGTCACTTCTCACGTGTCTATCCAGATGCTCTGGGTGACCTCTCTGTTCTCCCTCTTCCTGTCCCTCTCCCTCTCATCTGCTCCAGGGACCAGAAAGGCTCCTGAGTCCCCCACCTCAGACCTGTCCAACATCATCCTGCTCCGTGATGGGAGGAGAGGGGTCCCCAGCCGAGGGCACGACACTCTCTCTCCCAGGGCACGGCTCCGCCACTGCCTTGCTGAGGGCCCAAGGGCAGTGAATGCTTTGCCCCCTGTGGCGTCATGCATCGCATCATCATGGGACAAGGAGTGAATTTTGTGATATCTGAAGACCTTTCTGATATCTAACATTCTTGTGCCAGATCCCCAGAAACACGATCCCAGTAAGGTGGGAGCTGGTCGTAGACAGTGAGGCAGAGGCAGCAGCCACCAGTTTAGCAGGAAAGCAGAGGTCCCGCTGACCTCCAGCAAAGTGCCTCTGTCTCCCAGCCTGAGCTTGTTGCCTGCCCTGGGCAGCCAGGCCCCCTACACCCAGCTGTAGCCCTCTGTTGCCAGGCCTCCCATCATGGCCCCAGAGGCCCGTTCCCGGTAATCCTTACCTGCCCAGCCCAAGAGCCCTCTAGCCCATTCACGTGGTCCTCCCGGCCTGGTTCAGCTGCCCTGGCACCATCTCAGCTCCCCTCGCTGTGGTAGCCACCACCTGTCTCCCCGCACCCACGTTCCACCCTGACTTCCTGCCTCCTCCTGAGGGCTCCGCAGCCAACCAGGCTCCAGCAGCTCAACCACAAGCCTCTAGCACCCCGAACTTCCTGCCACCATAGCCCCCCACCCCTCAGCCCCCAGAGGTCCCAGACATCCCCAAGCTGGACCCTACTCACCCTGCGAGTGACATTCAGGGGTTTCAGATTGAGGGGAGGATGTTTCATGCACCCTCCCTCCTGCTTTCTGGGTCCACCTAGGCAAGAGATTCAAGGGCAGGCTTTGACCTCAGTGAGCAGGGCTCAGCAGACATCCACCCCGCTGACTGTAGAAGGCAAGTGGCACCGCTGTCACAGTACGAAAGCTGAGTGGCCCTTTGGTCTCAGGCTCCTGGCAAAGGCATCATTCAGAGTCAGAGGTAAGGAAAGTATTTCTGCTAAACAGTTGAAGGGAAGTCCAGGTGTGTCACAGTCAGACAAGAGGTTAAAACGGCTGCTATGGTCAGCTGACAGCAATGCCCATGTCATCTCAGGGCACAGGACAACAACTTTATTAGACTCACATGGTAGCCAGGTGTGGTAGCACACAACTGAGGACTTGGGAGACTGAGGCAGGAGGATCACCATGAGTTTGAGGCCAGCCTGGGCTACAATATAGCAAGACTATTCAAAAAACAAGCAAGCAAACAAACAAAAAAAGAATCACAGGGTAGACTAACAGCACCTGTCGTGTTTCAGGACAACCCCATGTCTTCAAGAGAGCAGAGTGACAACCTTGCTGTACGCAGAGGAGAGATAACATGTACTTTGTTGTTTTGTTCTTTTCCCCAGTACTGAGGATCAAACTCAGGATCTCGCACTTGAGAGGCCGGCGGCGGAATCACTGCGCTAGATCCCTGACCCACACAACATGTACTTTTTTTCATGGCTGTTGAGTGGGGAAGCACTTTCAAGGTGGGTCAAGGCAAGGCTACAGGTGCCAGTGGAGGTTTGTGGCCTGGCACCATCTCCTGCCACAGAAGATAAAAAGAACTCGCTGCCCAGGCACCAGGGCAGGCCATACGTTGTCAGGACTTTCCATTACAGGCAGGAGGCAAGAACCTTGCCGTGAGAAAGAATTCTATTTCCTCGTGGAGGGTCGGGTCACCAGCGCTATGCGGAGCTCCAGGAGTCTCTGTCAGGCCCAAGAATTGGGCCTTGACCCGGAGGGAAGGAAGGTGCAAGGACGTCACCTCCTGAGCTGCACCGAGCGAGCGGGCTGGGGGAGGGGAACCCACAGAGCATTGTTGGGGTTTGTGAGGTGGAAGCGATGCTGTGGGCACCTCAGCTGCAGGGGTGGGGGACAGGAAGTGGCGGGGCGGAAGCCCGAGTTGGAAAGTCAGACAGAGAGTAACACACAAACAAAGGCTGAGAGACACAAAGCAAAAAGCCTTCAGAGTGACAGGGACCCCAGAGCTGGGGCTCCAGGCCTGGTGTGGAGCCAGCAGCCCATGCCGGTCAGCTTGAGCACCTCAAAGTTCATATGTGGGTCTTAGCACAGGGGCAGATGGTAATTGTAAGAAATACTCGCATTTATCAGGTGCCTACTGTGTACTGTCTCCTTAAGACATATCCAGCTACCTGTGAGGTGAGAATTAGCACCTTCATTTTAGAGATGAGGAGACAGATTCAGGGATTAAGGGACAGCCTCAGTGTCTCATGGGAATGAATGGAGGAGCTGCCTTTAAACCCAGGACGACCAGATTCTCCTTTCCTAGCCACTCAATTTACCTAAACCACTTCCTGTGGGAGTTGGGAGTGACCTAAGATTTTAAATTATTTCCCCTTTCTTTCTTTCTTGCTTTTTTTGGACAGGTTTCCACTGCTGTCAGGGAGATGGGGCTTTATCAGTCTATCTCTACCCCGAACAGGGCCTTCTCTCCTACACAGGAGTCGTCGTCACAGGTCCCAGAGATAGAGGACAGTGACTTTGGGCCTTAATAAAGATGCAGAAACCTTTGAATTGCAGAAGGTATTTATTGAGGCGCTTTTGAGCCTGAGCTTTTCCCCTTCCCCCTTGTCAGCTGGGGCTTTGTGCACTCTCAATTTAGCCATTAGAGACCCGTGTGTGCCTCTGAGATGCCCTGTCTTCCCTTTGGCCAGGCAGCCTGGGAGGCACACAGGGGGCCACTCAGCAGAGAGTGAAGCGCCGGGCGCTGATGTTCATGCGGGTGAGGCCCAGGTGCCGCAGCAGCGGGGCCAGGGCCAGACCGGCCCCAGGTTCCAGCTCCAGCTCCAGCTCAGCCTCGTCCAGCAGCTCCTGGTGCAGGTGACATGCTTGGTCCACCTTCAGTCGGTGCAGCTGGGCCCGCAGTCTCAGCAGCTGCCCTGCCAGCTGCCGGTCCTGAGCCTGCATTTTCCTCTGGGGCCAAAAGGGGCGGTGAGCCCGCTGGGCGGGGCCCCAGACTCGCAGGCCAGTCTTTCCTTCCTGTCGACACTGTAGGCCTTTCCACTGGCCTTGCCCCCAGCCCCTCTCACCCACCTTCATCTCTCGTCTCTCAGATCTTGCTCCACAGGAGTGGTTCTCAAAAGAAGCTAAGGAACCATTATTAAGCAAATACAGATGCTGGGGGCCCATCCCAGAGCAACAAAGCAGAATCTCCGAGTTGGAGCCTGAACATCTTTATATTTGGACTCGTGGGGTCCACAGATAATACTCAGCACCACCCTACTGGGCTGCCTCCAGCGTGGTGGTCAGTGCCTCCTTCTGTGCTTTACTGCATCTCTGCGATACAGTAATCTCCGGTAGAGTGACCCTGTGTTTCCCTACTGAAAACTGGTGGTCCCCCAAGGGCAGAGTTCTGTCCCCTCTGTCACAGGAACACAAAGTCAGTGCACTGTGTAGAACCCTTCCCCAAGGCCTCCCAAATAGAACATTGCCAAGTGCAGTCCTGACTCCTGCACCCCAGGCCACAGGTGTAGGCAGTTCCGGGGAGAGGGGTCCCTTTTCATCCCTTCCCAAACCCGTGGCCTTGAGCCTGAAGACCCCGTGCAGGATTGCCCATCCCACCAGACTCACCAGTTCCTGTCGGAGCCACTCAAGTGCAGAATCCATTGAGTCGAAGCCACAGATGGCCCCAGGGCCTCCAGGACCAGGTCTGGCTTGGCCCTTGCACCAGGCTTGGCTCTGGACCCTGGCTGTCCACTCCAGATATGAGGGTCGCCGAGTCTGCAGCTGCAGCTTGGCCGTCAGTGCCTTCACAGAGTCTAAACTCTGCTCCTCCTCCTCCTCCTCCTCCTCCTCCTCCTCCTCACCCACTGCCTGGAATTTTAGAGGCCCCAGGGACATGGTAGGTTTGAGGTGAGTGACAGGCTGGCAATATGGCCCAGAGAAGTGGCAGAAGCTGAGGGTAAGAGGAGTGTGCCAGGGATTGTGCAGTGGTGAGTGCTTAAGGTGGGTCAGGGAGGCTTGAGTGCCAGTGTGGGTGAGCAGATGCGTGCATGAGGCTAAGTGTGCAAGGGTTGGAATTTTCCTGGCCTGCTAGCTGGGAGCCACGTGATGCCCATCCGGGTGGGGGCAGGAGGAGCCCTACTCTTCTTGCCTTTGGATGAATTGTCTTTACCCAGAAAGAGACTCCCAGTTCCCAGAAAGGAAGTTGCTTCAGGATAAGAAAAGCATCATCCACACCAGTCTTGGCCCTGCTCCCAAGACCTGAGTTCAGGGAGTCAGAAGGGGAGGAGACTGACTAGCTGCCTGTCTCCCTCATGCCACTGGTCCTTCAGCAAAGGAATAGGGTCCAGAGGCCTGCCTCTGGGAGTCAAGAGACCTGGGCTCCAGTGCTGGCTCAGTGGGACTCTGGCAAAGGGACCAATCCTCTCTGGCTTCTGCTGGGACAGATCAGCGATTTCAAGCTGTACTTTAAGGGATTTTAGGTTCCCTTGGAAATCACTCTGCAGAAGGGCAGAGTTGTGGATGGGCTCCTTGCCCTCTCTCTCTCCCTGTTCTTCCTACACTTTCAGCCAGAGCAGTTTTAAAACTTTGTGTTGAAGCCACATGTGTGGTACATGCCTGTAATCCCAGCACTTGGAAGGGTGAGACAGAAGCATCGATGTGAGTTCCAGGCCAGCTTGGGCTATATAATGAGTTCAGAGCCAGCCTCAACTGGGGTAGCAAGACCCTGACTCGAAAACAAACAAACAAAACAAAACCAAAAAGAAAACTCTGTGTTGAAATATAAAATACATACAGAAAAATGCATATATTATAAAACCACAGCTGAATAAACTCTCCCAAACTGCACACCTATGCAACCAGCATCCAGATCCAGCAATAATATAAGTGCTAGAAAACATTCAAGTACTCCTGGACCGTCACTTGTCTCCTAGGGTGACATGACTCTTAATTTTTCTTTTCAGTGCTAGGGATTGAACACAGGGTCTTGCACAGTTTAAGCAAGCTCTATATCACTGAGTTACACACCTGCCCTTTAAATTTTATTACATGGTCTAAGTTTGCCAAGGCTGGCCTGCAGCCTGAGCTATGCCACTGTGCCTGCTCCTGGCTATCTTCTTCATCAGAATAGCAAATATATGCATCAGTAAGCAATTAAAAAATAATTAGATGGGTGAATGAGTCCTCCAGCAAATGATCTTAGTCAACTATTGTAATTTTACCAGTTTTAAGTGTGTCTCTTGCCAGACTGAAAACCCAGTGGACAGAACCTTCCTTAATAATCTACCCTGGGGAAAAAAAAAATCATCCCTGTTGCCAGTACCAAACATGCAGCCAACTCATTGTCTAGGCAGTAAAAACCTGGTAAAAGGATGGAGTGGTAGGGGATGGGTTTGGTCTACAGGGCAGGACACAGAACTGGACC